ATTTTGAACTATATAACTGAAGAGGGGAGAAAAATTAAGAAATCAGAAATGTAAGAAGGCACACAGAGAATGCATAAATGTCTTCAACTTCATCTAATTCAGGTGTTTTTTATTTCGTATGTATGAAAAATTCACCATTCTTCTAATTTACCTTTTTAAAAGCACTTGCAGTATACTTGAAAAGGAAATTTCAGGTACAAAAAGAAAGAAACAAAATGGCCTTGCCAATTTTTTTAAACTAAATTAAGAGGTAATAAGTATTCTCCTCATAAAAATATACCATGCATATTTCTTTCTTTTCTTTCTCTCATGTCATCAAATGACAATCAGGTATTGTGAACCCTGCGTAGAATCTTCTCCTATCCAGGGCTCAATGTCCCTGTGGGGTCGAGCTAATTACAGGTACATTTCCTTTGCAAGGCAGTCACACTCTGTACTGTTGAAGGCACAATTAATAATTGAACAAAGCTAGCCATTTTTTTTTTTCCTCACATGGCCACGGGTTGCAGGCAGCTTTGCTGTCACACAGGGAGCAGAGTCTCTTCTTTGGGTCTCTTCCACATAGCTTGTTTATAATCTCCAAGGAAGACTTCACATTATAGGCTGAAAAGAATCACCTACTGTTTCCGTATTTTGAAAGAAATTTTTTAAAAAAACATGAAAACAAACAAACAAACAAACAAAAATCCTAGTTTCCTTTATAAAATAGCAAAGGAAAGTTCTCTCTCCTATCACCAGGAATATGATTATGATCAGTTGGTTATTTAGGTCAGATGTAAAAGAAATGAAAGAGGAGGCGTGGGAATGGAAGGGAGAATAGTAGTCTGCCCTCAAGTCTGCAAATGCGACAGAAAGCTAGTTTTGCATGTGCCAGAATAGAATCTGACTTACAAAGTGGGCCTAGATGGAAGACCGTAGAAGAGTAAAGTTGTTTCCTTTGAGATGTCTGAAGGAGCTTGGTGGGGGATATCCCCAAAGCCCTACCCGGCCATGGATGAGTGCAGCAAATCCTTGTCCTCTGTCCCAAGCCATGGCCTTGAACAGGAGTCTATAAACTTTTCTGTAAAGGGTCAAATAGAAAATATTTTACATTTGTGGGACAAGTGATCTTTGTCGCAATTATTCAGTGATGCTGTTTTAGAACAAAAGCAACCATTGAGAATTTGTAAATGAATGAGCATGGCTGGGTTGCAATAAAACTTTATGTATGTACACTGAAATTTGAATTTTATATATATAT